TGGTTCCTTCTTGAATAAAATCTGCCAAAGCTTGGGCCTTTATGGCTCGTCTGGGCTCATATCTGATGGAGTATTCGCTCAACTCGACTGCCCACTTAACGAGTCGACCCGAGACAGTAGGTCGACCTAAGGTTTCTCCGAGTTGAAAGTTTGTTCTTACCTCACATGGTTCAGAAAATACGGCCTCAACTTTCTAGCCGTTATTACCAATGTTAAGGCGGCTTTCTCGACCTCGGGATATCTTGTTTCCTTACCTTGGAGTACTCAACTAGTGTAATAGATCGACTGCTGGGAACTTCCTTCTTCTCGTAGTAATACCGAACTTAAAGAAACTTCCCCCACCGAGATGTACAATACCAACTCGTCTCCTGCCTCAGGCTTAGTCAACAGGGGCAACTCGCTCAGAAATTCCTTCAAATTTTCAAATGCCATCTGCGCCTCTTCACTCCATTGGAAAGTCGTCTTCTTCTTGAGCAATTTAAAGAAAGGAAAGCTTTTTTCGGCTGCTCGAGCAATGAACCTGCTCAATCCCGCGATTCTCCCTGTCAGGACTTGTACTTCTCTTATGTTTTGTGGTGGAGCCATGTCGAGGATGGCCTTCACCTTTTCTTTGTTTACCTCGATCCCTCGTTCCGTGACGACATAGCCTAGAAATCGTCCCGCCCTTACTCCAAAGGCGCACTTGCTCGGGTTCAACTTCATCCCAAATGCTCTAAGGTTTTAAATGTTTCCCTTAAGTCGTCTGGGTGTGAAGTTGAAGACTTGCTTTTCACCAAGATATCGTCAACGTATACTTCCATATTTCGACCAATCTGAGGTTTGAACATGCGGTCCATCAATTGCTGGTAAGTTGCTCCTGCATTTTGGAGTCCAAAAGGCATGACGACATAGCAATATGTTCCCTTGCTCGTCACGAAGCTTACTTTACTTTGATCCTCCGGGGCCAAGGGAATTTGGTGGTACCCTTGAGATGCGTCCATCATGCTCAACAATTCGCAGCCAACAGTAGAGTCGACTAGCTGGTCGATCCTTGGCAGAAGATAATGGCCCTTTGGGCATGCCAGGTTCAAGTCACGAAAGTCGATGCACATACGCCATTTGTTCAGTGCTTTCCTCACCATTACTGTGTTAGATATCCACTCGGGGAATTGGATCTATTTAATGTGTTTGGCTTTTAGCAACTTGTCCACCTCGACTTCAATTGCTTTGTCGATTTCAGCTCCATGATGCATGAGTCGCTGTTTTACCGGCTTTCTGAGGGGGTCGACATTGAGTTTGTGTTCCATGACATCCGGGTCGATTCCCGTCAACTCCTCGGGGGAGAAGGCAAATATGTCCCTAAATGTTTTCAACAATTCCACCAACTGTTTTCGCAACTCGTCCTCCAATTCTCTCCCGACTTTTGTGGTTTGGTCCTCCCTTTCACCAATTTGGATCTCCATCAATTCTCCGTGGGGCTCGAGGTCACTCCCCCTCGGCCTCTTTTCACTCGACATTGGCTTCTTTCCCTCCTTGATCTCCGCTCGTTGGTTAGTTTTTACCATAATCTGATAGCATGTTCTTGACAACTTCTGGTCCCCTCGAGCCTCTCCCACTCGATCTTCGACGGGGAACTTCAGTTTCATGTGGTAAGTCGACACCACTGCTTGGAAGGCATTGAGCGCCGGCCTCCCAAGGATCACATTATATGCCGACTCGACGTCAACCACCACAAATCTCACCATCTTCACCTTCCTTAAGTCACCCTTCCCTAGGACGACAACGAGTGTGGTTTCTCCTAGGGGAGCGATTTCTGATCCATTGAATCCAAAGAGTGACGTGTGTAGGGGTGTAAGCTCGATGTCGAGTTCCATCCTTTTGAGACATTCATAGAAAATCACGTTCACTGAGCTTCCTGTGTCGACAAACACCCTTTGCACCTCGTACCCCGATATCTGTGGTTATCATTAGAGCATCATTGTGTGGTCTCTCGACTTACCCCGATATCTGTGCGGTTATCATTAGAGCGTCATTGTGTGGTCTCTCGACTTCCCCCGCATCGGCTGGTCCAAAGTTCATCACTCATCGACCTTCTGTACCTCGACTTTTGCATATCGGCCTCGAGCATACGTCTTTCTTGCTCGACTGGAATCCCCATGTTAATTACTGCCCTTTTCGGTGGGAGTTCTTCCTTATCTGGTGATCTTGCCCTCTTGCGAGGGTTTTTGCTTCTTTCCCTCCTCCTACTCGACGTCTCACGATCTTTGCAGATGGCCGGCTTTGATCAACCTTTCGATCTCGTCTTTGAGGTGTCGACAATCGTCAGTGTTGTGCCCATAATCTTTGTGGAATCGACAGTACAAGTTACTTTTGGGCTTCACTGGCCCATCCTTTCTCGTCCTTGGCCATCTCACGACATCGTCTCGGATCTCCCTTTCCATTACTTCTAGAATTCTCGCATGAGGAGCCGACAGGGGTGTGTATTGAATCGGCCTCCATCCCCTGGATCATCCTTCACCCCTGTCAGCTCGCGGTGATCCTCTCATTTCCCCAGTCGCATGAAGTCTTCTTATCCTTCTTGTCATCTCGACTTTCGGTTTGGAACATCTTTATACTTTGCATATAGTCGGCTTCCGCTTCCTCGACATTCATATATTTGGCACACCTTCCCAATACGTCGTCAAAGCTCCTACCAGGTCGCTTGGCCAAAGAGTTCTTACACAACCCTGGCAGCAGTCCCCTCGTCAGTCCTCCCGATTGATTTCCTCTGTTGCTGTTGGCACTCGACACACGCCTTTGTAAACCTTGCCACATACTCTCGCAGCGATTCGCCCTTCTTCTACTGCATGCTGATCAACGAGAGGTAGGATTTCTCTTGCACCCTAACACTTGCAAACTGATTAAGAAAGCTCGAGCTGAAACCAACAAAGTCCTTAATTGACCCAGCTGGTAGTTGGTGGAACCAGTCCTGGGCCGACCCTGTCAGAGTCGTCAGAAAAGCGCGACACTGCACCGGGTCACTGTAGCGGTGAAGTACTGCCATGTTCTCAAAACTCCTCAGATGTTGAGACGGGTCAGTGGAGCCATCGTACCATATGTTCAACTCCCTGAAGCCTTTCGGATTTGCTGTGAGAATGGGTGTTCCTTCGCATCTCTGCTCTTCCTCCCCCCGACTCGAGCTTGCAAGTCGCGGACCTGGGCCAGCAACTGCTCTAACGTCTCGTCCTTCGCCTGCGGGTTGACAGTTCGAATAGAGGATTCCTCCTCGTCCACCCGTCTGTTCTGCTGCACATTCGATTGGCCCTGCTGCTCGATACGAGGCTGTTGTTTGACCCGCGAGTTCTGCTCGACATGAAGGTTCTGCTCGACCCGCGGATTCTGCTCGACCTGGACCACTTGCTTCATCTGGGTGGCCACAGCTTCAGCGATCATCCTTTGTATCTCGTTCCTCGTCATCGTCAGGGTCTGCTTCTCGACGCGAGGTTGTGTTTGTGTCTGCTCCGGCACCTCCTGGATCTGCTTTCCCTCGCGTCGAGACATCTCCGTTAGCTCCTTTTCTCCAACATTTGGATTAGGATTTTGACTTGTTCCTACTTGGGTCAACACTTGCACCTTCATCCCGGGTGGAGTAATGGGCGTTTCTCCACTCAGATTCATCCCCAACGGCGGAAGTCCCCCAAATGGTGGTAGTCCCAACATTTGTACCACCGGAGGTCGAGGGGTAGAGAGAGGTGGTGGTCTCCTATCTGTCCAAGCTCCCTTGAACTCCTCATTCAAGTTCCTCTGCAAACCTTCCTTCTCAGCCATCAGAAACAGATCGGAGCTAGGTGCAAAGCTCTTGCTTCCCTTAAGAACTCCCCACAGATGGCGCCAATATGATGGGTCTACTCTCAGATCTGGAGTGAACCGGTGGTAAGGAGCTCAGATCTGTTTGAATCGCCTTCGAACCGTTGCTAGACCGCGAGAATACCTGCAAAAACTTAACCCGGAGGTGTTTCCGGCGTAGAGCCTCTGACGCTCAAGCCAGTAAGAGAGTGATGAAGAGAAGCTGCGCAGCAACTATGAGGGAGAGTGGAGAATGAATGAGAGTTAGAGTTTGGGGTTACCTCACCTCCTTTATATAGGAGTGAATACTTACTTCTAGTACCCAAAATGCCCCGATCGGTTGACTTGTAAGGTCTAAATTGCCCCGGTCGATTCGTCTCCCCTTGCTGCTGAGTCATCACAAGATTACTTCCTATCCTTTGGAGAATGCAGAGCTTTGAGTATGTTACTAAGTGTATGAAGTCGTCAGTGTGCCTCACGTCTCGAGGTAGGAGAAATCGACATCGAGCATGGACGAGTCGACTCAGGATCTTCTAGTTATTCGGAGGCTACGCTTCTTGCTGGTCTGCCCAAATGGATGTCGACTACAGGGGAGTCGACTGCACAAAGTCGACTTCCGCAAGTCGACTTTTATGAGATCTGCTGCTTCTCGCCATTAATCATATGAAGAGTCGTCTTTGAGGAAGTTGACTTGAACAAGTCGACAGGTTCATGTCGACATGCGAACGGTTTTCGCCACTTATCCGGTCGAGTAGATAGCCTTTGGGCTGGTATATCTTTATATGGCTATATCAATATATATATATATATATATAGGGATGCACTCCAGTGAGAATGGTGCCCAGCGAAAGAAATAAGAATACATCGTATCTATCACATCAGATGATCCAACGACTAAAAAAATGCCAAATTAATACCTTTAGTAAGGGTAATGTAGTAAATTTCTCAACCAATACAGTGGGACCCGCTACAACACAAACCCACTCACACGCGGGCTTCAGCATCTAACACCTCAACCACTTTCTCTCTCATATCACCAGATCTAAATTAACACACATTATCTCTCTCTCTCTCCCTCTCATGCACACACCCTAACACACACAAAACACTTTCTCTCTTTCACGCACACACTCCAACACACAAAAGCCCTCTATCTCTCTCTCGCTCTCCACGGTCGACTGTCGTCGGCGACGCTTTCACTGCCGACTCCCACCGACCACACTTTCGACACCGTGCACGACCAACAGCACAAAGCTCGCTAGCTCAGTCACGGCCGACTTCCACCTCCGACAGTCATCGGTGCTATTTTTGTCACCGTTTTCACCTCCGACTCTCACCGGCGATACTTCCGACACTGTACGCGCCCAACAGAAGGTCGAAACTTCGTCATTCCACTGTGTCCTGAGGTCCGACAACGCCGGGGAATCTGCGCCTAACGGCCGGTGCCGCGGCGGCGCCAAAAACCAGCTTCACTTTGGCCACAGATAACTAAACACACACACACAACACCCAGTCCGATCCGTATTCTCCCGACTCAGCCGCCATTTATATTGCCGAACAAACATCCGCCACACACACATACCACTGCGGCTGGCGCGGCGGCAGATACGACAATTGCGTCGGTTGTGCCAGAGTCATGCTGCCGGAGTGACGGTGAGGGAGCGGGCGAGGCGGCCTTGTCGGTCACTGTGCTGAAAAATAGTTCATTGGATGAGGGATTAGTTTTTGTAAATTATATAAAACTAAAGGACTTGGCTGCAATTTTAGATGTTTTAAATCTATTTCAATTTAACCTCTGGGCCAAATTTATAATTTATAAAAATATATAAAAAATATTATTTAGAACACATGTCTTTGTATACATATATATTATTTATTTTAAACTAAAAAATACTATTAAATATATTAAATAAATCATATTAATATATCAATAAAAGTTTATAGTATACATAATACCTTTTTTTTGTTTATCAAAGTTAACTCAATTGACCAACTAATAAATTAATATCATGCATCCCATAGTGCATAATATTATTAAACAAGATGCACATTATAATGTATCCGACAACACAATTGTGTTAGATTAAATGCACAATAACTCGAGATTGCATTTAGCATACCATTGTGCATTTCACATATATTAAATTTTTGGTTTTTTTCAGCTTGATTTTGACTTACGTAAAAAATTATAAATAAATAATAGAACCGATCAAATTATATAAAAAATATATTATTTTTACATATTATGCATATATATTATTTATTTTCGACATGATATAATACAAAATTTTCAATAAAATTATAAATACTTAAAATAGTTTATTATATAAATGATTTGATAAGTGCACAATCATGTAATTTAAATACACATTATTAAAGTTTTTTTTTTTTTATATATTTAAATTGAAACGCACATAAACAAATACACGCACAAATATATTGCATAATAATGTTAGACGGAATGCACATTATTGTATGTGTAAGTGCACAACATTAATTCGATATTTCATATATTATATTTTTCACACAAAATATTATAAAATATTAAATAAAATTATTAAATATACTATATATATTATTCATAAAAATAATAAATTAGTTTGATTATTTAGGATTATCGGTTAACCAAATAATTCACTTCAATTTCAATTTTGGTTTGTGACAAAAGTTTGGTCGGTGTACATAGAGCCTGAATCTGTGCACATTAATGTCATACGAGATGCACATTAACGTCTATCGGACGGCACATTAGTGACCAATACCTACCGAACTAAGTTTTACGGTTCAAATTTTTATATTTTGATTCAATTATATATATTTACTTTCAAAAATTTGAATATTCTAGTTTGATGTCGAAATTAATATTTTAAAATAAGAAAAACAACATAACATACCGAACTATATATAAAAATTATTTTTCATTTCATATACTCTTATATAAAACTACTAGTATGTCACCCGCGCGTTGCACGGCCCGACGTTAAAAAATGATGTGAGTTAGTTATAATTTAAATAAATTAAAAATATTCACAAATTATGTAGGGAGATAATAGAAAGTACGATGAAAATTTTATTCATTATATTTTACTATGTTTCTCTAAATATAACATTATTAGAGATGAACTGTATTCATTATTACCATTATCATCATAAAATAATATTCATTAGACAATAGGGATTCGTGACTATGGACACAACAACCTATAACTGAGTATGACTATAAAATACTATATGTTTTCTAATAAATATTTTCAAATTAAATAAATTCAACTTAAAAAAATATTTGTGATATTCTATGAAAATTAGTATTTGTCACATTAGTGTCACTCCTTGAAACTTTTGCCTAAAATGTTTTGATATAACATAATTTTCTACATTTGTGAATAACTAAAGACATTATTACTACTATATAGATAAACTATATAGAATATTTGAAATATACATGTGTAAATATGAGTCGATTAAAATTAAAAGTATAAATTAAATACTTAAGAAAAAAAATACAAAAATGACTTAATTTCGAACCGCATGCATTTAGCTTCAAATTAGGTCCACATATCTTTTTTTTTTTTAATTGGCAAAATAAATTTCAATTTAATTTATTTGCAAAGTAAGTCCGATAGTGATCAGAATGACGTGCAAGATGGATCACCTTATGTAAAGTTTAAAATATGCACAATAATCATTAATGTTCATGTCAATAACAAATTACTTATTTTTTCCATGTAATTCATACATAATATAAGTTAATATAATTTCGTAAAATGATAAGAAAATGACATTTAAATTATATTATATAAATTGTAAAAGAGTACAATTTATTTTGATAAAATTAAAAATTATGATATATAATAAGAAAAAGTAGTCGATAGATTATAGTAAGTCGTATTGAACTTTATCCATTGCAAAAATTCAGTAGGGATAATATTATCTTAAGGGAAAAAAACATGTATCGTAATAACAAAAAATTAACAATAGTTAACACATTATGCTAATTTTATTAATCGAAATTTATAGTTGTATAATTGAGGATTAATAAAGAGATTAAACTGTAGGAAATATGTGATACCCCACATGTACACCATTATCTGAATTGTGCTAATTGTATGATTTATTAGTATTAATCAATATTTCCTTGAGTAATTTTATTTTACTTTATTTTATTTTTCTTTTCATGGTATTATTAGATAATAATAATAATAATAATAATAATAATAATAATAATAATAATAATAATAAATGAAATACTTATATCTATTTTTCCTATATTATTAAAATTTGTGTACAAATTTCTACATTATTTTACTAACCATTAATATCTTAGACAAAACAAATAATGTAGATGGTTTCCTTAGATAAAACTATGATCATCCATTTAAATTATATTATATATATATATATATGTGTGTGTGTGTGTGTGTGTGTGTGTGTGTGTATATTATTGTATAGCTGCGAGGTTGTGATATATATAGTTGCGTATAAAACTTAGTATAGATGCTTAAGGGTATTGATTATAGATAAATAAGTCAGTAAGATTGTTTATGTGGTTTAGTAAGATATGTGCTAGAAATATTACATCTCATAAAAAATAAAAAATAAATAAAAAGAGAGAGAGATCAGATACGCTGACCCAATTCCCCAATCGAAATCACGGATTTCAGAACATCACATTTTCCCATTCCCCAATCGAAATCACGGATTTAATAACATCACATTTTCCTACCTCACTTACTCTTCTCAAACATCCACTCCCCAATAGAAATCACTGTTATCAGAGTAATCATTGTCTTTAGCGTGTACTTATCATGTTGCAGGCAGTTTTTCTACACAATCCACACACAACCTATTCTACTTAATCATTTTATACGCCGTTCACAATAATCAGAAACAATTTATCTTGCTAAACCATTTTATACATCCTTTACACAAAACTCAAATGCCATCCTTTTAGTTCAAACAACGCAAAATCCACAAAACACATTTCCTATCTCAACTAAACTTTCACTCAGCATCGAACAAAATAACATCTCGGGGAGTAGTCGTCCGTAGTAGAAGTCTGGGAGAAAAATAGAAGCACACATCATCCTAATCCCCAAATACCAAGAAGAAAAGAGGTGGGTGATTAAAATCCTGAAAAATTAAAAAAAAATGTGTTATCTCAAAAATACTATGCATGTATCCCCTCTATATATAATTTCAGAATGCGCTGAGCCTACGTGGCAAACTCTCATGCTTCCGAATCCTATTTGGCAAAAAATCATGCTTTGGAGTTAGGCTTGGATATAAATTAATATTTATATTAATTGTATTTTAATATCGTTTCCTATTATAACCATTGAATTAATAATATATTTTAAAAGTTGATAACTTTTGTATTTCTTATCGGTTTTACATATATAATATATCAAATTAATTATCTTTTGATGAGATTCGATTTGACATCCATATTGTATATATAAAATAAATAAATAATATTTATCTTTATAATAATAAAAAAATTATTTATTAAAATTATTTAGAAAATAATATTATTATCAACTAATATATTTATGTTTAATGTAGTTATATGTTATATGGTAGAAAATTTATTATAATATAACACATATATATCGCACAAGTAACATGTGTCATACTAAAATATATAATAATATATACTCCCTCCCATTTTTATTATTTGTCACTTTGGTTTAATTGATCATTGATAAAATAAATGTCGTTTTAGATATTTTGTTCATATTTTTTCATTTTTAACCCTCCATCTAAGGCACAGTGTCTCTTCATATCCCGTCTCCATCGTTCCCCATAACATCCATTAAATAGGGTTAATAATGTCAAAAAAAAATCTTAATTAGTGTGTTACATTTGAATTGATATTATGAAGTCCGTTTGTATTTTACTAGTTATTTATATATATATATATATAGGGATTGGTTCAAATGCATCCGCTTATTTAAAGTGAGGATGTGAGACTCATTCCTAGCCACAAGATTTAGATCTAGATTTAAATAATAATTCTTTATTTTTATTATTTAATTCTTTATTTTTAAGTATTTAAATATTATTATGACCATTGACTGTTGACTCCGGCGTTGACCGTTGACTCCGGCATTGACCGTTGACTTTCAGCAAAAATCGTTGACTTCCAACGTTGACCGTTGACTCCGGCGTTGACCGTTGGCCATTTGTCTTTTGTTGTTATGTTATTTCTTTCTTGCTAGGTTAGTTGTGTATTGTTGCTAGGTTAGTTGTTTGTTGTTGCTAGGTTAGTTATTTGTAGCTGCTAGGTTAGTTGAGTTTTGTTGCTAGGTTTTTTTTTTCTTTTTTAAAACAACAACGCCCCGGAAGGGNGCTGGATCCCCAACCTGTACATAGATTAGGGTCCCGAAATCGGGAGCCCAAAATATCAACGAACAAGATATAAAAGTCTATGGAGTCTCACAGTCACAGTAAAAACAAAAGAAGAAAACCAAGAAAGAAAGAAAAACCGAAAAACGAAAAAGAAACAAAAAACTACAATACAAAGTCGATCTTCGGACTAACAGATG